ATAGTTGTGCTTTTAAAGTTGTAGCAATGTTTCGGCAGAATCTCATCTACCATCATCACGCTTGTGTATTGTGGCTTGTGTATACACACACACACACACCCTGATAAAAGAGGATTGCCTTCACCTTCCTTCTGAATAAAGACAGTGAGGGGAGGGGGATCTTTACATTAGCACACATGTTCTAAATGTCTAGGGCAGTTACAACAAAAGCAGGTTTCCTAGTCCTCTTCCCTTTAGTTTTATAGAGAATGGATATGCAGCTATCATAGCATGCTATCATAATTCACATGTGCAGAACAAGTCGTTTCTACACAATAACCAGGACTAAGTTATGAAGAGCTTTAAAGGTGATAAGCATTTTGAATGAAATGTATAGATAACATGTCAGAGAATGGAAAGTATTACTGTGCTGAATCAACTTCTATTAGAAACTACGCCAAGTGAAGTTTCTGAATGTTCCACCTAGGCAGCTCCAAGTAACCTAAATATAATTTCTGCAACAAGATAAAAAAAATTATCAGCACATGTTCGTTTTTCTCTTTTTCCAAGGTATTTTCAAAAGAAATAATTCAAGACTGATGGATGAAATTTTAAAACAGCAGCAGGAATTGTTGAATCTTGACTGTTCCAAATATACAGTGAAATTTGCAAATCAAGAGAAAACAGATCAAGGTAAGATAATTTTTTAAAAACCTTGTATTGTTATAGAGGATTAAAATACATTGATTACACAAAACTAATCCACAAATACTGGTTACTTAATTTCTTCAATGGGAAATTTTCATGAGTACAAATTCTTAAAGATCTGGGTGTATACAAATCAATGGAATGAGACAGATGTATATAAATATGAATTAAGAAAATTTTGATTCTAAACTTCTTGTGGAATGTTATTATTTTAGCAAAGAGTTGCGGATTTTCTACAAAGCATACTTTAGTAGGATTATTTAAACAATAGCAATAGCACTTAGATTTATATACCGTTCCACAGTGCTTTACAGTGCACTCTAAGCAGTTTATAATGTCAGTATATTGCCTCCAACAATCTGGGTCCTCATTTTACCGACCTCAGAAGGATGGAAGGCTGAGTCAACTTTTGAGCCAGTCAATATGCATTCTAATCACTACATCACCACAGTTCACCACTAATAGGTACTTTGAGAAATTGCAGAATAATGGGGAAAATGTTACTTTAAACTGGAGAATTGTAAGCATTTACAGTAACTTTAGAAAAAACTAATTTCAAGCAACTGTTTCTGTTCTTCCACTTTCATTATTTTATTTTCATTTCAACTGCAGTTTTAAATTGCCAATCTGTTCTGAATGTGCTGTCCTCAGAGGATGGAAAAACCGATATTGTAAAAGCAGCTCAGAAATTTTGCAACTTAGTAGCACAAAAGCAAAAGAAATGCACAGATCTGGATATGAACATCTTGGAGGATTTATTAAGTAGTAAGTGTTAAAGCAGAATTTATTTACTTTTTTGAGTATTTGTAGGAGTGCAAAATGGTTAATCTAACAATGGTATTTTTTTAAAAACATAATCAAACTCTTGGTGTAAATATTTGGATTTCATACTCACTATAGCTCAACTTATGATTGATTGTTTTGAAATTATAACGGACATCCAAAAGGTATTTACAAACCAATTTCAAAGTTGCAATGGTTGCATGCTCCCTTCACAGTCACATGATCACATTTTGGGTGCTTGGCAATCAACTCAGCTTGAAAGCTGTTTGCAGTGTCCCACCATTACATGATCACGATTTTCAATGTTTTTTGCCCTTTTCCTGCAGAGAACACCATTGGCTATTATGGATTATCTTAATGACTGTGGTCTTCACTTAAAGACTACCATGCTCGCTTAATGACCACCTCAAAAAGTCTCATAAAGTCATGTCCAGTTACATAGTGACCTGTTTAACATCCGCAACAACTCATCACTAATTCCAGACGGTCATAAGTCAAAGACTACCTGCATTCAGTCTCTACATTCTATGGGGTTACTTTGTAGAAGATCTCCAATATATCTTTGAATATTCTTGCTTTATAGGTATACATTGCCAAATAAGTGCAGTCATTATGTGTAGCAGTACCTGGGCTCATGGAAGAAAATCCATTTAATTTGGAAAAATTTTGGATTTTTCTTCAGGTTTATTTGCAGGAAGTACCGAAAGCTAGACCTGATAGTTAATTTATTTTATAAATTATATTCAATTGGTTGCTATTTTCTTTTAAACACTTCCTTACTCATTTGATATTTGACTTTCAAATATTCCTAACTATGGTAACATTTTCTTTGAAAAAATAAACCATATAATTGACCTTTGTGGCCTGACTTTTAGGAATACTCTTATGTAATGCTGCCCATTAAATCAGTCAATCTGAGCATTTATCTTCCATTATTACTCAAAATTGCCCATTTAACTGCAGATACAGATACTTAAAAGCTGTGTTCTGAATGTGGAATTTATTTGTTTTGACTAAATTTCTTTGCTAGTTAATGTTGTTTCAAAAATCCATGTGGGATAATTGGCCCCCAGAATTTGCCTTTCTTTGAATATATTATTTGGCTACCATTTATTCTGCTGACTAAGCTATTTCAACTCTATTCTGATATTATGGTGAACCTGTGTTATACCTCTGATAAATTGTCTTGATTCTGCAATATTATTGTGCCCTTTTTCTAGGTACTAACGGCTTTCCCGATCCTGACCTAATATTAAAGTTTGGTCCTGTGGACAGTATCTTGGGATTTCTTCCCTGGCAAGTCAGATTGACAGAGATTGTGTAAGAACATGTGATTTTTATGTATTTTCAATGATTTTGATTTTAATAGGAAAGTGTGGATATTGTACTGTATCACACAAAGAAAACAGCTCTCACTCCAATTATGTTGAGGGCTACATAAGAAATGCCTCACAATAGGTATTAAAAATACATTGACAATTTTCTCTTGTACCTTTTTGCAAAGCAAGGGTGATCAAACTACAGCTTCAGTGTTTCTTGTCATTCTCTCCAAATTACAATAGCTCACTAATTTTCTTCACTAGACTAACAAAAATAGATGTGTTAAGCTCACAGTAGGCTAAATTATACTTTTAAACACTTCCCTCAAAAGTGGAAAAAAGGATTCAGCTTCCTTGATATCATTCCCCATCCCTGCCCACTATCCAACACTGAAACCATTAGGAAAAAATGCTTCTTCCAGCCTCAAAATTGCCAACTGCTGTCATGGACAGTTCAAATTAATAGTATGCTTGCTAATACATAATTTAAATACTTCATTTATACTGTTCTTGATTCAGTGTATAAATAATAACAGATGGTAAAATTTCTTGATAATTAGTATAACGTAGGTTCGGTCACCTTGCTAACATTACACTTGTCCTGTGGAATGATTGCTCTCTACAATATGCCTGGCACTCACACAGAGGCAATTTGGGAATCTTTTAATAATCCATCGTTTTATGTTTGTCTTCTCTAGCTATTAACTCCTTGTAATAGTTGCTTTTATTCTGTTTTATGACTATTATAAACCACTTTGGATGTTTCTGTATTATGAGAAAAGGTTTGAAAATTAGGACTGTGTAATACTGTAGATTTAAAGGAAAAATTATTTCTAGACACTTTCTTAAATCCAATGCATCTTTGCTTGACATACTACAACAGCTGCACAAGTGCAGAAAAGACGTAGTTTTTATAAGACATAGCTACATGAGTGTCCCTAAATACTCCAAATCACTTTATCCCTTTGAATCCAGATTGGACTATCCATTTATAAAAATATGTTTAATAAATAAAAGTCCTTTCATATTGGCGTCTCTAACTTTTAAATATTTTCAAGTTATGGATGTATTTAAACAGGTTGCAAAACTATTTAGTAATGAATTAAAGCCAACAATGTCGAGAAGAATCTTGTAGTTCTTCAATTGTTGCAGAATAGCAAACTGCAGGCTAATAGTGGTGGGCTACAGGTATTCCATCCCTGCAGTAAATTTGTTTTTTCCTGTTAATGAATCTTTCCATCATTTGAGGGAAGTAAAATTATGTTGAATCTGAACATTGAATTTTATGTTCCATGAAGAATACTCTTACCATAAGGAGCACCTCTAATTATACACAGTGTACTTTTGCACATAGTTACTGCAAGTTAGGGAGATCTTGTGGAATCTTATGTATTAAAAATAGATTCCTATATAGCCAAGCAATATATGCACCTGTTCGCATATTCCTTGGCTATAGAATGGATAGAAAATTTAGAATACCCTTAAGTTCATATGTCTTCTATGTTCATAAGACTTCTATGATTTGTCATGTATCAATCTGATTAGTAGTTCAAAGCAATTTTTTAGGAATGTGATAGCATATTTATGTATTGTATACATTCCCAATTATACTTAATTTTCTTTCCAATTATATTTTTTTCAGTTCTTTGCCTTCACATGTGAATGTCAGCTATGATGAATTCTTCTCTGCCCTTTGTTACTATGCATCCTGTGATCAGCGTGTTGGAAAATGATTTATTGCAGAATTCTATCAGGATTTCTTTGAAAAGGACCCAAGGTCTCTGTTTACAATTACCTGTGATTCATATAAGTCCAGTACATAGTCTTTTAATTTATCAAATTCAATAAAGTGTCTTATCCTTTTTAGAATTTGTATGTGTGTGTGTACTCATAATCTTTGAAGGTATGAGAAAGCAATGGTTTACTGCTATCTAATAATGATATATCATAAAAGTTGAAAAAATAGTTATTTAAAGATTTCAGGCTTATTTTTTCAGTGATCAAATTCTTATTATTAGAAATATTTACATGCAATTATATATATCTCAAAAGTCAAAGTAGTACTGCAGTCAATAGAGTGCACATTCTCACTTAAAGTCGCCTCATAAATTTATGAAATCATACTTTACAAATTCTTTAACAGACTTATACTTGACATCCTAAGCCTAGATTCTAGGAACACATTGTAAATTGATTACCTGCAAACATTTATAAAAGTGTCTGACAGGGTGAGATTGGACAAAGGGAAGAGCCAATGTTAAAACTGATTAAGATTAAATAGAACAAAAAAAGGGGGTAAGTGCTTTCTGGAATGTGGGAATGTTTTTAAATCATAGGTCAATACATGTTTTAAATGAGCAATTGAATTACGGTTCCTATAACCATGGACTTTTCTGTCTTGGGGAGCTGAAGATTGTGTGGAAGAATAAATGTGGGAATGGAGCATCCTCATGTAAATTGAACTTTTCCAAATGCAACATGAACAATTGGGCCTCTACATTCTATTTTAAAATAAAATATTAACATCTCAGAGTGAAGGTAAGCTTTTTTAAAAGGCTTGTATTTTCCTTTACAAAAAGGATTGATTCCATTTTCAACATTTTGAATATCCACCATATTATCTTCACTTCAACTATAAATTAACCAATCTGGATGACGATGACTATGGTAGAACATACTCAGTTTATATCTGGCTAAGAAACAGTAGCAGCAAACAAAGTGTTAATTCAATAACTTTAAAATTTTGACATCTGTGCACTGTAACATGATTACCTACAATAGAGTAAATGTATGAAGCTAAAACTCATTAATTTGTCAGCTAATTTCCTGCAGCAACTTTATTATGCTGCTTAATATAGATAGTGTGAGATTATTCTCCAAATCTCTAACTTAATATTCTATCCCTAAGTTTTTGCAAATTTTTAAACAGACTGTCCAGTAAATATACTGTATGTTTCAACTGCATATTTTTAAGAATATCAAAATCATTTTTGTAATAATGTTTGGTTTAAAAGGGAACAGAAATTTAAAATCTGTTTTGTGAAAGACCTTTTTTGTAAATAACTCCAAATTAATGGAGCAAAATATTGCAGATGATAATAGTATTTTTCTCCTTTTTAAATATCCAAGTTGTACTTGATACATCTGTGACAAAATTAGGGATTAATTGACCATGGGGGTGGTGGTTTTTTTTACATGCTAACTACTGTGAGCTTATGATGTAAATGGGCATCAAGACAATATGCATACCTACTGGAATTTCAGAATCTATCTTCCAATTTCCGCTATAGAGATCATAAACATGTACAATATATTTCAGGAATGCTCATGCATCAATTTCTATGATGTCTTTCAGGAAATGGCATTTTAATGAAGACAGGTTTTGGAACATATTCTACAGGAAATAATGAAAACTATGACATGGTGTATGTACATTAATTGAAGGACCTAAAGAGAACTGACGTCTAAATATCAGAGCTATGAGCTTAGCAAAACAAGTCTAGTGCAAATTATGAGAAATAAAATAGCAAATTAAGATTCTTTTCCACTTTTCTACTTGATAGTTTTTTTGAATCTTCAGATGCCAAAGAATAGTTTGAAGAACCACCTGCATTTTGTCCACCCTTCTGACATTCTTTGACAACAGACTACTGTATGTACCAAGCTCAGTAGAAAATATGAAGTTAGATGTGCCAAAACACTGTGCATATTCACAATTTATTCTTTGAATGTACATCATTGCAGTAAACTCTCCCATCTCAAGTTATTTGAGAAGATATAGTTAACAGCAGTGACAGAATAAATAAATTTGGATACTTGTAAATAATATTAAAACAACTTTTTATTATGAACAAATTGACTTAGTGGATTTCGTTACTGAGGGTAAAATAAGAACCTGTAAATAAATACAGGCAGTGTATTTTTACAGGCAGTGCTGTTATATGGATATATGCATCTGTTTTCATGTACAGTTCTCCCTACTGCCTATGCTTACTTAAAACGTGTAACAAAGTGTTCTAGAAAACAATTCTTGAAGGCTTTATTGAAACCATTTTAAAAAACTATTTCTGGATATTTATATTTTATATTAGATCTAAATTCATATTTGGATGGACTGGAGAGACTGATTTGTAATTCCTTTTTGAAAGTTTGAAAAAGTGTCTGCAGTTTAGGAATCCATGAGACACATATTCTTTCTTTCCCAATCAGTTAAAGAGGATGTGGAAATATTTAATCAGCATCTGGAAGTTATGATATGCTGGCTGCAAACATGCTGAAACACAAATCTGAGAAGTAGTACTGTGTTTCTCCAACAATACGCCCCCCCCCCCAATAGGAAGACCCAGCATGTTTTCTAGGCATAAAATGAAATTAAGCCCCTCCCCCAAAATTTAGGCCTAGTTTAAAACATGTGAAATTGGGGGGGGGAGGCGGGGGGGAACTTGCCATTAGGAGTGCCCCGCGGGCAGCTACACCTCACCATCAGCCGCTCCTAACACTATGGTGGAGCACGGAGGGCTCCCTTACCCCTCCCTTACCTGGGTCAGCAGGCGGGCGGCATCGGCATGGATGTCCGGCAGCGTTTCAGCCGCTTCTCAGGCCTCCATAGCTTCCACGGTTCCCACCAGTGCTGGCACCTCTCGCCAGCGCTGTCTCCAACAACAGCGTCTGAGTCGCTCCCGCTTTTCCCCTGTCCCCATAACAACAGGGGGAAAAAAAGATTTTGAGGTACCTGGGAGTGCCGCGCCACTGCGTTTTGGTTTAATCCCGAGCGGCTGGGTGGGTGTGAGAAGAGCCGAGCGAGCATCTCTGCTGCTGCTACCCTTGGTGCTCCAGCCTCCGGCTCTGCAAGTTTGCAAAAGTCCCGGTACAGCAGCCCGTTCCTGCATTCCAAGCACCCAGGCTGAGCTGCAGCTGTCCCTCTCGCCAGCGCCGTCCCCAATAACAGCGGCAGCAGCGACGGGAACCGTGGAAGCTTGTCAGCTGCTTCTCGTGTGGGGGAGCTGCCTCTGTAACTTCTACGGTTCCCGCCTCTACTGCCGCTGTTATTGGAGACGGCGCTGGAGAAACCAGAACCCCGAAGTTTGTAGAACTACCAAATCTTACAGTAATGATACTGGTTTTTTTAAAAAAAATCCAGAAGAATGCATAGAATAAAAAAAATCTGAATGGGAATATGGTATAAGATCTGTTACACTTCCATTTAAAATAGGCAAGTATAGTATCAGGACCAGAACTTTGACAGCAACTTTGACAACTGACAACCAAATATACTGAATTTTAGACCTTGCCATACTCCTTGACAATTTTAGTTTATTTTTATTTTTATTTTTCACAAAATCAACTGACTTTTATGAAACCAGGAGCACATTCATGTCACGCATAATGTCCTGAGCTCCACCCAAAGTTGTGAGAATGAACCTTTATTCACAGTGGGATTTCTCACTCTGTTTTCCTGTACATGTCAAATCTTGACAGAGTGCAGGTAGTCCTCAGGCTATGACAACAATTGGGACCAGAATTGCCATTGCTACGCAAAACATTCGTAAAGCATGATTATATAACTATATCACTTAGCCACGGAAATTCTGTCAGTCTCGGTTAACATTATTGAAGAACTTGTGGGTCATGACTTCCCATTTCTTGCCAGCTTCCTATTGCTTGGAGGACGTAAGCAGGGAACCTCAGAAATTGTGATCACATGACCAAAGGAATACTACAATGGCCAGAGTTCCAAAGACCTGTCATAAGTCCCCCTTATTCAGCACCATCATAGGTTTCAATGGTCATTGAATGAGTGATTGAAACCTACAGATTGAAGATTTGTGGAGAACTGCTGGAGATGTTGTTCCCTACTCTGTTTGGAGATAAACATCTTTGACCAGGACACAACATGATTTTTAGTTCATGTAGATTTGGAAGTAAGAGAACATAGGCCACTCGGCTATTTTTGTTTGTTTAAAAATATACAGCAGTATTTATTTTTAGCAAAACAATCTTTAAAAATTGAAAAAGAAAAGTACAAACTACAAATACAACTTGGCTGTTTTGCTACTTGTTTATGAAATAAATTTCCTTCATATCCTAGGGGCTTCCAAATTACTACAATTAGACTGAGATCTTAGACAGAGAACTGAGAAGCCACAATTCCCAGTGAGCTTAGTTTGATGCAGCAATTTTGGAGAGTAATCATGGGTTTTCCTGATTCCCTTTGCTCACCATCATTACCATGGTTTCTAACACTGTGTTTTTCTTTCTTCAATATAACAAACCAAAACTCTATCATCTATATCAATAAATCATCCCTGACAGTTCTCAGAGACTGAACAAATTTTAATCCAAAGGTGCAATCCAGTTTTAAAAGGAACATGTTACTTTGTTTTCATTTGACATGTTTCTAGAATATAAACTTCGTAAAGTTGATGACATTTTTTTACTTATCAGGACAAATAGTTTGTGGATTAGACCAGCTTTCCTGATAGGAAAAGCTGATATAGAAAGAACACATATAAATAGGCCAATTACATAGTAGAAAAGTACCAACACATTATTTTCTCTTCAATTATCCTATTATCTGATGAATGCTCCCTTTGCAAAGAAGCAGGCACATCACCTGTTGTTTATAGCAGGATGAAGACAGTGGTACTTTATGTGGCTTGGAAAAAAAAGAATCGCAAAAGGACCAAGTGTTGATATTTTCAAATGTTTTCAAATCAACCTGTGTATTATTCCCAGATTAAAAATGTAGAAGAAAGGGAGGAAGATCACAAGAGATTAGTAGATGAAATGTTGAAAGCTTCTTAGTCAACTTTTCCTGTTAAGTATCTCCTATGGAATATTTTGGCAAGTATCACAACCCATAAATTGGCTTCCCAACAGAAGTGCCAAAACTTGCTCATCTCTACCCTGCTTCCAGTATTGGTCAATCTGCAGTTTAAAAATGAATATTTGGCAACAAGCTTTCTTGGTCTGTTAGAATAAGAAAAATAAAAAGATTTATATCAAATTGGTCAGTAGGTGGTGCACTAAGGTTTCAAAACATTTATTAGTAGTTGTAGAGTGGCTGGCTTTGTGATCCTCATTCAGGAAATTGCATGTTGAGTGTATCTTTCCTTAAATTAAATTTACTTCTTTTTATTTTTATCTTACTTTTTAATATATCTGCTTTATTGGTACAGAGGAATGATACATACTCAGGAAGTAAAATAAATTGCATCCCCGAACACGTTAAGCTTTTAGATAGCTGTTTCCTGTTAAAGCAAAGGAATTTTTTGTAAAGAAATAAAGCAACTTCAGCAGAACTACCCCCTCGACTGCCTCACTGATACATAATCTAGGGTTAGCAAAACTATTATGGATTTGGCTTTAAAATGATAGTGCCCTTCGTTATAATTATTGATTTTTAAATTCCATTTTAATGGAAAATTTTGTTAAACATTACTACATATCTGTGATAAAATATGTGGAAGAAGGAAAACTATTTTTTAAAAAATCAGTATATCTAAAAGCCATGAGCAACTGTAGAATTGTAACTGCAATCATTCATTATCAGCTGCAGCAGGGAAGCACCCAATGAACAGTCCAACACCCACTTTGAACAGCCTAATTGACATAGTCATTCCCAATATTTCAATAAATGACTCATTGAATAGTGACTAATAACAATGATATTGTAGTGCTCTTAGATGCTTATTAGTGTTAATTGCTTGAGATGTACACCTAACAATTTTTTTCCTGAATGGTGCACAACCATACTTAGCTAATCCAGTTTAACTCATAGATTAACTTGTGAGAAATCAAATTTTGGAGAGGAGAAAAAATTGGTGATATATCATTGCAAACGATAAATGATTTTTTTTAAAACAATCAGGAAAGGTTAATGATTACAAAACAAACAACCCCACAAAAAGCTGTTAGCTTAAGACCAGATTTTAATTCTACAAAGATTTAAAAAAACTGGAAGTGACATGCTTTGTAAATTATCCTTCATATACCCACACTATTCTATGGAAGAGTATATATAGCTGGTTTTGCAACCTTATTTTTTTACCAACATTTGTCTGCCTTCCACTAAATTAATCTCTATATACTGTATATCAAGAAGCTGAAACCAGTGGGGCAGGAGCAGGGAAATGCATATGATTCAGTCTCCATCTCCTCCAAGAGACCAAAAGCCACCAGAGGTGAAGCTTGGGAAAAGAACGTGTATGTCCTGGTATCATTTGTTCTTTCTGTCAAATCACACTCTGCCCCAGAGGACAGCTTTTGGGGAGCCCTAGAAGAAGATCTTCAGGATCAGCACAATGAAAGAACTACCCTTATGAACACAGCATAATAGAGGGGTTACCGGAATATATAGTTAATAAATAAGGACGGACATGATGAACTGGTAAAATTAATATATGGCGTGACAAAAATGTTGAGCATCTCAATCAAGTTCTCTCTGATTCCTCAAGCAATTTTTTTGAATCTTGGTTTTGAAGGTATCTGAACACTGGGAACACAGAACACCTTTTGCACTGAGAGGAAAAAAATATGAATATCTCTGTATCAAATACCTGTCCAATATTTAACAGAATAACAGAGTTGGAAGGGACCATGGAGGTCGTCTAGTCCACCCCCCTGCTCAGGCAGAAAACCCTATATCATTTCAGACAAACTGTTGCCCAATCTCTGGAGCATTCACGACT